AAAATATTGAAACTCTATCCAATCACATCTTTGTTTTCATATTTTCCACTAAACCGTTTTTCTTTTTAAATATATTAATATATTTAATTTTCTTTACATTTTCTACACGTATCCCTTTAAAATTTGCTTTAGTTCAGTTTTTACTTTCTAAATCACTTTCAAACATCACAAACTGCATTTCCCGTTGTTGGTTTTTCATAGTTAATGAAAAGTTTCAAGTTATTTGACTTTAATATTTGTTTGCTTTGTGCCTTTCGAGTTGGCATCTCGCGCACAAGAAGTTCTGCCAGACTGAAATCTCGGCACGCACATCCTTTGCTTTTATAGCCCGGCTTTGCCCTGCCTTGCCCTGCTTTTGCCGAGCGCAACGCCAGCGGCGAAGATTTGCGACGCGTGGTGAGTTTCATTCAATTTGCACAGTCAATTTTCATTTCCATTTTCATTTTGTTTCCATTTCTCCTTATTGTTGTTGCTGCTGTGCTTGTTGCTGTTGCTGCATTTTCAGGAAAACTTGTTGCGCCGCATTTTGCTCTCTGGCAGCGGCTTTTGGCCCTCGGTTATCTTTTAACTCTGTTGTTATCTTCTTTTATGTAAGTGCTTGGCAAGCATTGAAATTTGCCACTGCTGCGCACAATTTGGTTTAAATTCTAATTCGATTGAACCAAATCTTAAGCGTAACTACTTGAAAATTGAAAATACGATAAGCCTTGGCTTGAATCTAAGTTCAAAGATGGTTAAACAGCTCACACAACCAGCTGCTCTAAAGAGACTTGCCTCATAATAAAATCTTAAGCTGGGTAAGCTATGGCTCAAACCGCACCTGAACCCAAGCCATAATTGAGAGCCGATCTAGCAGGAGCTCTCATCCAACCAGGGATGCACTCGAGCCGAGAACAACGAACTAGTACTTATGTTTGGCTAGACAATCAATAAACGTTTTTCACAATGCCCGTCCTGGGAATCGGCTTATCACTCTAGCAAATTGGCAGCCACACGTTTAGTTGGAACTCACCCGCAGTATCCTAAAGGGGCTGTCACGCAACAAGCAGACCTGCTCCACCTGCGGCTCAGCCGGCAAAATGGCCTCCAACGGGGACTCCACATCATCCCCAGCCATGTCCACACGCTTGGGACCCGCACTTCGCTCGATTATCATCGAGAATATCCAGTACTGCAAATTGACGACACAAATGAGCTCTTTACTTTTCTAGAATTTTTCCGAGAAACAGGTGGACTCACCTTGCTGCTGCGATTGCCGCCGCCGCTGTTGTTGGAGCGGGTCTTGGGCAAGATTTTGGGCTGGGCCTCCATCAGATCTGGCGATGGGAGAGCCGCGCATTGCGCATTGTATACACCATTCCAGAGCTTGGGCATTTTGACTTCGATGCTCGCCTGATCGGGATCTGTGCCAGCTGTTGTGATGGTAAAGGGTCGCAAATCGCGACTGTGCGCCAAATGGCGTCTGTTAGAGTTTCGGTATTTCACAATAATCCCTGGCACAATTATCAGCCACAATCAATTGACTAATTAGTTATTGATTGGCCTAAACGTTTACTAAACTTCTGAATTGTCAGTCCCCTGTTTAGATAACCCGTCCGTCACACGATACCCAATTCATATTGTTGTTGTTTTTCTTGTCCAGAGATAAAGGCGAAATATACAACAAGCTCGGCGCTGTTTTGGGGGCTGGCAACTGTACCGTGACGTTCGATGTCAATGGAACTTGGCGGGTCTCTGAAATAATGCTGCCAATTCCTCCGAATTTACATTGAAGTGCTTATTCAGCAGTCGAGTCTATAAGCATATTTATACCCTGTAGCCTTTGAAAAGGATGTAAGCAAATATATGTAACAGTCAGATTGAAAACCTCTAAACATATATTTTTTTGAGCGGGGTGATGAACTCAGTTGTTCGCCACATATCGATTTTGAGGGTTAATATTTTGGCCTTAACTCGTAAATGATGTGAGCTAGGTATTACAATAGAAGGACTCAGATATTTTACTTTTACCTCCAGCTCTTTTGCTCAATATATATCTGGTACAGGGTATCCCCAAGTCGGGCCCTCTTAATTAGAGTACTTATTAGTATTTATTTATGGTTATTTTTTAGCCTAATGCGTGTTGTTGTCGCAATGTCAACGCTCGTTTGTCACATTTTTATATTGGCCGCTTCCCGAGGGACGTGGCGCCTACCGAAACCACATTAAGTGAGAATGTCTAATTAAAGGTTAGCTTATTTTTGGCAGAGACTCTCAAGCGAAATTGGCAGGTAACGCCCTCAAACGATCTATTTATATTTAAATATAAAAACGCCTCTGACCTGAGCTCGTCCAGCGTCATGCTGCAGCGCCTTAACGAACCAACTTCGTCAAAGGATTGAAGCAAACTGTACGCGACTTCAATATCGATATAAGCTATATCCTTTGATTTATAGCTGCTCGTCGATTTCTTGTTAATTAAATTAACATGATCGCTATCGGCATCGCGATTGAACGAGCTGCCAATCCCCGTTCCCATCCCATTCCCAATCCCAATCCCAATTCGCAGTGCATGCCTCGTGGCGCGCTCATTTGCCTAATGAAAATATGAGAAGTTTCCAGACAATGCGGACATTTCCACCTATATCGAGTGCCTACTTTGATTATTCAATTCACTAATCGAAAGAGTCCGTTTTTGATGATGAGTTGACAATATGTGCGTCGTCATGATTTGATTAGTTTGAGTGTCTGCGTAATTTCGATTAATTAAATCTTGTCTAACATTTACTTAAATTAATAAAGAAAATATAAAAAAATCGCCTAGACTTAGAAATAAATATATGTTTAACGTGTATAAATAAATAAAAATAGATACAATATAATATAATTAAATAAAATATGATAATATTTTTTAAAATTTACCTGACTTCCAATGAGAAACGTTCTAAGGTTAGTTTCTTTTCAGCAGCCTTGAATACGATCATAAAATCTCGTAGTTCCTTATGTACTTGGCGAATAATTTACATTTTAATTGGCCTTTAAATTAAGAATTGTGCTTTAATTACGATAATTGATATCACTCTTATGTACGTAGAATTATGTTATGCATTTATATTACACATATTAAAAAAGAAAACTGTTTTGTTTGCAATTTTGTATTTGAAATAAAGTATGCCCTGCGTGAAAGTAAGAGTAAGAAATGCAAATGTTTTGGAAAATGTATTCAATATTGTTTTCATTCCATTCCACAGTTCCTTGCGCTGGCAATAAAGACCAATCGACATGGAAACTGAACTCAAACTTTGAACTATTGAAATATTTGATAGCAAGACTTCGATTTCACCCAAACATATTTCTACAGACTGTCTGCACTTGGTATATAAAGAATTTGAATATCTGTAGCTGGAGTATTGCCTGGCTAAATGCACACCATATGTTTCAATCCTAAGGCGATTCAGTCAGATTATTAAAAACCATCAAAGACTCAGTTGCTTAAAGGTGAGTGCAACACTTTTGACGGACAGGCGGGGCAGGCAGTTGCTTTTTGCACAACACTTTAATTATAAAACTTAATTAAAACCCTTTGAGTGCAGTTTCAGTTTCTTTTTTTGTTTTATTTTATTTTTTTTTTTTATTAGCATTTGACTTTTGCGTACCGACAGCTTCGCTAGCTGAACTCCAACTGAGCGCTCCAGCCCTTGAATAGCGCCTGTTAGTTCTCTGCTTTTTGGGGTCAGAGTGGGGCCGGGGCCCGGGTCTGATAAGCGTGTCGCTGGCAGCCTTTCGTCAATTTGTCACCCGGTTTAACTAGACGCGAACTCATACGACTCGTATCCTCTGCCATTTGCCTTTGTAATTAAACTGTCGGCGTTCGCATACGCACATCGCGAATCGCCGCGACTTTCCATTAGACACACAAATAAACATGTAAATGTAATTGTTTTTGTATAAATATGTGTCTATATCTGTGTGTCATTCATATGGTGAAATACATCGAGCAAAGGAATTTACAATAGTTTCGCAAATGTGCTTATATCAATGGGTTAACTATTTCCATATTGGCTAGAATATGTTAATACATATGACATTAGTAAATACGAGCATTACGATCTTCAATCTATCGTACCTATAACTGAAATATGAGTGCACGGCCAAGCATAGCTAAGAAAATTGCTGGTAATTCATGAAATGGACAGTCTCCCCGGAGCAAACAACACAGGCTCATTTACAAACGTCACAAATTGCCCTACTTATGTGTACAAATGACTCGCGATCAATATGATGACCATATAAATGTCAAAGCTGACGTAAATTGGCTATTTTAAAGTAATTTTATATATTTTTCATCAAGGCTCGAACCCTGTGCTAGTGCTTGCATATTCTATAGCCAAAGGAAAGATAGCTATTAACTGTCAAATCAATAACTAAATATATTCTAAACTTTAAATAATATTTTAAAATAGTGATATTGTTGTTAATGTCAAACTAGAAGTTACCCTGCACCTAGCACCGGGCTCCATTTCAATAGCAGTTGTATTTCCTTCTGGATGTACCCAAAAATATGTATGTAAGCACATGCAGCAAATGTTTTCTTTAGCTTCGGTGCTTACAGTCCGAATTTTACGATATTTTCAGTATATGGAGTGCAAGATATGTTGAATCTGTGTATACCCATATACAAATTAAGTTTGGTATATTTAGCTCATATTATCTTTGACTTATATGAGAAAATTAACTTCCAAAAAGGGAGATATCAATATAAATGTAAATCTAGTTTCATCTTTGCCTAGCTTACCGCGAATCGCAGTGCAATTATTCCTCACATGCGAGTATCTGTCACGTTTCCATCTCCAATGGAAACCTCCAAAGTAGCGCATAGTATATAAGTATATAGATGTGCATAATAAATATCTATCTGGGCAGCCTTATCGCTGGCATTTGGAATGCCTTTTGGATTCAGCAAGTACTTATTTTCCGCAATTAGCAAGTGCATTTTAATTAATCAAAAGGCGACTGACAAATACACATAAATAAACTATTTAATAACACTTAATAAGGCAATATAAGCAAATGGGGTGAATTTAGCTAATTAAAAGAAATGTTAAGTGAAAATTGGCATTGAATCATTTAAAGGGAATGGACATCAGTTTGTTTGGTAGATTGGCAAAGAACAGCGTCAGGCCCATGCAAACGAAGATGACAAAGAGGCCAATGAACACGTATTTGCGTATGACGGGCCACAGGATGAGATGCGCGGACTTAAAGGGATGCGTTAGAGGATTGAATGAGGTCTCGGGCCGTCTGTAAGCCAAAGGCGAAAATGCATGAGTGCAGCGAAATTAGATATTTGCATTCTGGCACCTACTTGGGCGCCTCCAGGGCCATGGGGGGCTGGTGGCCCAGGCCCGCTGGCAAATTGGATGCCTCCGCCTCCGTACACACATCCACCTGCAGCTCAATTTTGCCCTAGAGTTACACACTTACAGTAACATATATGAATATGAAGTTATGGTTAAACACGTACACCCATCGAGTTGGGTGCTCCGTTTGGACTCTCGGGTGCATCATGTAGAGGAAACCAGCCGTGCACAGTCTTGCGATTGAACAGATTGATGCGCTGGCGTGTCCTGGGAAAGGGCTGACAGCTTCTCTCTGTGTGATAGGGCAGCGGCAGATTGGACAGATTCACCTCCAAGGCGCCGAGATATTCGTCACGCGTCACAACATCCTTATCCCAGATCTGCAGATGGATGATGGGCGGCTTCTTCAGTTCGATCTCCTCGCCTTGCAGGCCACCCTTGCGCCTGATGACCATCTGAGGCAGATTTAATGAGCAGCTCATTAATTATGCGCGCTAGTAAGTATTATTTTACGCGTGCCAATTAGGAGAGGCAACAACAACTGGCCCGTGTGGCATGCAGCCCCAGCACCTACCATGTCCTCATTGGGCGCATATTTCAAAGCGAATATCATGCGCCAATTAAATGCCGCTACGCCCGCAAATGAGCGGTAATGTATATCCGTCGCTTGGTACTTGTTCGCATCCTGGCACCAGCTGCAGAGCGGAGCACAAAATGCGCTTAATTGCATATCGTTTACAGATGCTGTTCGACCCCTTACCCAATCACGTAGATGTCGCTCATTAATTTGCCAAATATATTTTTATCGCCAAACTGAATGCCCCGCAGATTTTTGACCACAACACGGACCTCATAGCCAACGGGCGGCATTGGCGTTATGTCCACGGGCGGCGGAATGAACATGTTCTGCTCGTACAGCTCTATCCACATCTGAATTTTACCCTAAAATCGAAAGTGAAGCGAGTTAAAGTCCGGCGTTAGCGGGCTTTTATTCAAATGTTAGACTGTTCGCGGTAACATCTATCTAAAGTTCAATTACTTTCTCAATCAGTTAGTCACTTGTACATCAGTTAGTCCATGAGCTAGTCAATTACTTGCCAGTTGGTCAGAACGTGACTGCTTAGTCAGTGCATCAGTCACTCAATCACTTAGCGAATTCATCAGTCAATCTATCTGTCACTCTGTCAGTCAGCCACTCAATCAGTCAGTCAGTTATATAGATATACCACACCTGTACCACGCCTGGAGAGTCATCGCGATAAAGGGAACGCGTCTCCACGTGCTCCGGCACCAGCTTGTAGCCAAAGGAGGGCAGCTTGTCTAAATTTTTGAGCGCCGTCAAGCTGAGCCGCTCCTGCAGCTCCTCAGCTAGGGATGAGATGAGCTTAGATTAGGCCTTAAACAGAGAGCAAATACTCACACTTTGAAATGATGGTCTCATCGCCAAAGAGCATGCCATCCACCTCGATGACATTGCCATAGAAATAGGGCGGCTGAATGTTACGCTGCTGGCAGAGATTGTTTAGCAGCTGAGAGGGCAGGGCCTGGTCGCGCCACTGATTGTAGCCGATGTGTGAGTACTCCTGTGGAATGCCCACTGTGGCCCGATGCTTGGTCTGCCATCTATCCTCCAGATCGATGCGTGTGCACCCAATGATTTGATCCTTGCGCTTGTCGTGATCATAAATGGCCACCTCGAGTATGGGATCGGCAGGCAGCGATGTGTTCAGCTCGAAGAAGCGCCCGAACACGGGATTACTTTGGTTGGGCACATAGTGGGCCCGATCCGAGACCATTTTGCCGCCCAGCGTCAGCCTCACATACGAATCCGAGTCCGACACCCAATCTCTGGGCCGTATTTGCAGACCCTGAACTATATAGACCCTAACCGTGATTTTGAACACATCTGTCAGGGCCTTAATCAGGGTCTGCTGGCGCGGATTCATGGCGGTTGCCAGTGGACGCAGCATATCGCCATCGCCACCGCCACCTCCTTCGTCTGGTGCCGTGCATTGACAGGGCGTCAGCTTGATCTGCAGCTTCAATGTGGCATAGACATCCTCCTTGGGCGGGCCGTTCTTTCGGAACTTGACGCCGTGCACTAGCGGCACGGGAACAGCCCAATCCTGCAGAAAACTGAACTGCGGCTGCTGCTCCAGCTCCGTGGTATAGATGACCAGTCTGTGCTTGCACTGATGCGCCGTCTCGTCCGGATCAACGTACATGGAATTGTAGAACTTGGTCCACCAAGTGAAACGGCTGTCGTCGAGCAGATCGCACGCATCTGTGTGCTCCTCATACTTGAGCGCCTGCTTGTTGGCATAGGCTGCGGTGCGTAGGCCCAGCGCGATCTTGATGCGCTTCCAGTAGCTGTCCACCTGGCCGGGTGGCTCCTCCTTGTCGTCGTCCGTCTCCTCCATGACCAGATCATCGTCGCCATCCACAATAACCGTGGAGGTTGCAGCGGAGCTTTCGCCAGATCTTCTCCTGCACCTGCGCTGCTTCTGTAGATAGCTAGGCGAGGGGGGTATGAGAGCAGCGCCCAGCGTGGACTCATTGCAGAAGGTGTTCACCATTACGTCGGTAGCTATCATGGCCGGCCAGTACTCCTGCTGATCGGGCAGGCTCTGTGGCGCAGACTTGGATTATTAATCAACTGGACTGTTGTATATTTATGGAAACCTACCACGACGCCCGAGGCATAGGCCACAAGAAAGTTGATGCTGTTGCGCACGCGCGATGTAGACAGGCCGCTGGAGAGGACCAGATCGGCCATAATGACCTTGGCACGTCGCTTACCTGCCATGGTCATACCCATCTTGGTGTAGTTGCGCAGGCCGATAAAGATTACCTCGAGTCTAAACGAATGGAGATTGAGGAAGGCTGTGATTACACTGGCTCGACTGGGACTCACATGTAGTTGAGTACGTTGGGTCGTATGGCCGGTGGGATGCCTACGATCAGTTCCGACTGCTTGTCACCATTGGCCTGGGAGTCGCCGACCAGCTCCTTGAACTCCACAGACATCAGCACCTCGGCCTGGACCATGCCATTCTTGGCCATCGACACCCATTTGAGTGGTGGCGGCGAGACATTTTTTAGCTTTTTCATCTTATGCACTGGACTGCGGCCCCAGCAGCGGCTCTCATCGCCGCGACTGTTCTCCATGTCGTTGTCGTCCGCGATGACACTCACCACAATGTGTCCACTGCCCACGGCGTCGTATTCGGAATTAAACAGCTCAACGCCGATCATCGGCGGATTCTGCAGATACCAACTGATGCTGCCCGGCAAGGTCAGCCCCTTGATGGTGATCACAGCATCCCAGATGGGCGAGCAGGTGCCCGGAGTTGTGTGCGTCTCGGCGGCTTGGGCCGCAAAGACAACACGTACATGTCCATCGCAGATGATGCGGTTCTCCATGCCCGACGGCCGCACCTTGGCCTGATGCACATAGACGTGACAGCGGAAGAAGGTCTGCACAACGTTCGGCAGCCAGGCCATCGGCTCCGGCGAGGCCCACTCCCCGGCAATGCAGGAGAAGAACTCATGCCGCTCACGCTCTGGCACAATGGACACGCAGCCAAGTACAATGCCCACATTGCAACCGCAATTGGCACAGTTGTGCAGGCAGTTGGGGCTCTTGAACAGGAAGCTCTTGACCTTCCAGCAATGGTTGTTCGCCTGGTTGACCTCGCGTTTCTGCAGGCTCAGAAAGTGCTTGGCGTTAAGCCGGCAGACGCCGATCTCCTTGCCACCCGCATGCAAGCTGAGCAACAGCTCCGGCCAATCGTCCTGGACATGCATCAGATTGGACAGGGCGCTGATCTCGCCAATAACACGATTCAGATCGTTCACTATGTCCCCAATGGTGGCATGCAGATGTTCCGGATAGCTGGACTTTAGCTTCTGGCGCAAAGCTCGCAATTCACGGGGCACCTTCTTAAAGTACTCGAGCAAATATTGCTGCCTATTCACGTCCCAGCTGGTGCACTCCGCACCCAAGTCATAGTCGAATCGATGTAACTGGACGCTGTCTAGGATTTTTTCCAAGGTGCTGTTTATGATATGCTTCAGGCACTTGGCTTGATGTTGCAACCGATCGGGAAACTTGAGCTGAAAGGTCTTAAAGACGGTCAATTCGGAGCGCTGCAAAGGAGAAAAAAGTTGTATATTGCAGAGAAAAGTATTTAGAAAATCCTTATCTAAGAGGACTACCTACCATGTAGTTAACTATGTCGATCATAAAGAAATCAGCCTCAAACTTGATGCGATTATCGGGTAGGTTGACATCCAGCAGGCAGGAATGGAAGGGCGACTCCTGTCGAAAGCATTTCGTGTGCATCATCGAGTGGAACTTGCCCGGCGGCGTCTTTAGCGGACCCTCGAGCACATTGGAAACACTCTCCGCCAGCCTGACCATGAACTTATACTGACTGGCAGTGGAGTGTATTTGATCGCCCAGTATGGGCAAGAATTCCACAATAAATGGCTTATCGGTCCAGTTTGTTGGGGCTGGCACGGACTGTGAGATCAGCACATGGGTGGGCTGACCTTCGGCTAGTGTCTCGGAGCGCAGTTCCATCAGAAGGCGACCCACATAGCTCATGGGGCTGACAGGATCGTACAGATGTAGATATGTCGGTCCAAAGGAGGGTTTGTCTGCAAATAAACCTTACGATTAAATAGGAAATCGACAAGTTTTGATATACTTTTAAGACTGACCATTAAATGCAATATCCTCGAAGGACATCTCGTATTCGGCGACGCATTTCCATTGCAGATGCTCCTGCATAATAACCAGTATGAGAAACCGTTGGGCCAACGACGGATAGACCCAGGCGAAGCTGATCTCTTGGTTCCACACGGGGGTCAGTGTGTTTTTGGCCACGTGCGTTTTGCCCTTGAAAGGATGGAATCTGTACTTTAAAAAAAAACGAAAGCCAAGTCAATGCATTAAGACACGATACTTTGAAGCCAGCAAACGATACTTGTATCAGGTAGCTGCTCTTCTTCGTAAAGATGCCACGAAAGAAGCTGATGAAATACCGAATGTTACTCAACGTATCCGAGTCCGTGTCCTCCAGCAGGTTGCTGTGGATATATGGTTTACAAAGCAATTCCTGCACTCCCGACCACTTACCCCTTAATGTCATCGAAGTCGTGATGCGTTGGCCACTTGACAACGGCATCCGCTGCACCATCCTGATCCGGGCCTAGACCTGTTTTCAGGGCGCTGTGCTGGGATACAATGGCCAAGTCAATTTGCAAGTAGCCGCCCATCTCCCTATTGCCGTGCTCCGGGGTGTGCTCCCCGATGGGCAGCTCCAGGCGACCCCATCGCTTGAAGTAGCTGTGATTCGGCTGGTTCCACACGCTGTGCAGGTCAATCATCAACTCACCCACAAGCACGTTCTTCTTATAGATCATATACTTTTTCAGCTCGAAGAGCACGGTCAGGCGCAAGAGCTCCGTGAGCGTACAGTTGAACTCAAATACAAAATACTGCAAGGAAATTAATAATTATGATGTGGAAAGTTGGATGTGTGGCTTACCTCGTTGAAGAATGGATTCTCTGAATTCGCTTGGGTTTTCGTATTTTTAGACATTTTATCTAAACTGATTTTCACATAGAGTTCACCAACGGGCACGCCTGTTTCCGCCGCCTTATGCACTGTGATGCATATGAGAAAATCCTGACGCGCACCCGCAAAACAATCGTCCATATGATTCATTATCAAACTTTTCGTTTATTTCAATAATATTATTAACTAAATAATTATTTCACACTAATCTGAGTGAACGCTACAAAGCTGCGTTGTTCAACAATTTGCTAAAAGCTTTCAAAGTTTAAAAAAACAAAGGCGCCACTGCAATACCATACCGAACAGTCTGGCAACGCCGTTAGCCACAAATTCACCACACAATACTCAAAACCTGCACTTACAAGCTATTTACCCAGAGCCGCCAAAAGCTCTCGGTTGCAAGCGGCCACCAAGCTTCTTATTGCTTGCTGCTTGAAAGCTTTCAGCTGGCCCAACCTGCTATTTTTATGCATGCTGGCCGTGCTTGTGTATGTGCAGCCGGCCAGAGGCGTCGCCAGCGGGGACCTTTGGTGGATTTAAGCTAATCACAGTATGATGCAGCCAAATGTTACAATTTGTTATTATTATTTTCTATGGAAATATTTCTTATAATTTCGAGTATGGCTAAGTCTCTTGATTTGTTTTTATGCGTTTCAGCTCTTTCTGCAGACCCCCTTTTCAAAATCATTGACTACTCCCCTGCCGTTAGCTCTTGGAGCTTGTGCTTTTGAGCTCCAGCTCTCCAGCTCTGATGTTGGGCCCAACAGTTTCAGTTCGTGCGCACGGGCCAAACAGTCGACACAGTTTTGTGGCATTCTCTATTAAGCTGAGATCTGAGTCGGAGTATTGAAAGCAAGCATCGCGCAGTTTGCAGCCGTCGGTTGTCGTTGTTGTCGTGGTCGGAATTGTTGTAGCTGTCGACATTGTTTTTGTTGCCGTCGCAGTTGTCGCGGTCGTGTGTGTGTGTGTGTGCCTGGAATCGCTCAAGCGGGAGTTTGGCTGTTACAGAGGCTTCTCTGCTCTTCTCTCAGCCTCCAGCATACGTCTCACCTAAGCTCTCGGTGCGTCTCTTCTGGGTGCCTACGCGCCTTTATGCATGTGTGTGTGTGTATGTGTGTGTGTGTTTGTGTGTGCTGCTGATTTTGTGTATAATTTTTTGCGCGCGCTCAATCAAAACAGAGCCCAGCTAACATCAGGGCCCAAACAATTCACAACAAAACTCAACCAACTATCAATAAACATGCATTTTTAATTGAAATATATATTTAGTAAATTATAAATATATTGGCTGTATTTTAATTAAAAAACAAAAATATTTTGCATGCAAATCCGTTCAAATGCAAACAAAATGTACGGCAAGCAATATAAATGCTCTAAAATTTCCCAAATCGTTGCAGCTTAAACATCAACAGGACCTCGACGCCTTTCCTATTTAAATATTCAATAAGCTCGCTTGCAACGCGTGCTTAACACTTAACAGGTAAGCTTGACTTTTAGTTTAACATGAGTATTTTTATGCGTGTATATATATATGTGTGTGTGTGTGTGTGTGCGCATGCATAAATCAAAAGAGACGAACAAGCAGCGCAGCAGAGAGCTTGCTCCTGCTTCTGCTGGCTGTGCCACTGTTCTCAGCAGCCGTCGCCACCCGCTTTACTTGCCCACGCCCTGCGCCTAAATCAGCCGCCCAGCCACCCCCAGTGCGCCCAATGCCCAACCCCAGGCTTAGTGGTGGATACGCACACGCTTTTGCGTCGTTGCCAGCTCCTCTGATTGCTGATGCTGTCCAGCACTGCGCCCCCGCTTTGCCCATCTGCCATTCATCTTCGCTTGCCTTCTTCTTCTTTTACCGTTGCATCTTGTGCTACTTTTCAATTGTCATTTGCGCGTCATTTCTTTGCGGTCTTTACATGTTTTACCTTCAAAATTTTTTTTTTTTTGCACCTCCTCGTTTTCGACTCGGTTTTGGTGCAGTGAAAGGCTCGCAAATACTTCCGCAGCCCATTTGTTGTTATTTTCTTGTTTCTTCTTTTTTTTTTGCAATTTCTTATCGTTCTTTGACGTAGTTCTGCCATTCGCTTTTTGATCTTGAAACTCGTGCTCTCTCCCTAACCCTCCACTCCAACCGTTTCGCAAGCTGCGGCTGCCGAACGAGTTTATCAAACAGGAAAATCATTAAAGCAATTCAAATTGTTTATTAAAAAGCGACGGGCTGAGCAGGGGGAAAGATGTATGCAAGAATTGAAAAATTCGATTTCTTTTCTCGTTGAATTGGGACTTTTGTGCTGATTTTAGCAAAAGATTTGTGGACTCACTTTTTGCTCCATTTGCAATTAGCTTCATAGTTAAACGGTTTTCAACTCAAGTCGAACGAAATCTGTCTATGCTGTGGCTCTATACCCTGTGCACCTAAGGGAGTATTGAATATGTGACAGCTTCTTTAAATCTCTATATATTTATGCTCTATCTTTAAGGTACATTTAATTTTGCTAAGAAATAAAGGATTTTTTAAAATTATTATTATTATTAAAGAGCACCAAAAAGTCGTTCTAGCCTAGAGCATTCAGAGCTAGTCTCTCGTTAGTACAATATAAGCAAAAGCTGATCAAACATTAAAAGTGTATATTGCGAAAAAATATCTCTTCGAACTTTAACTTTTAGTTGCCATTGAGTTATAAAAGAGAGAAATACTTTATAGACAATGGCAATTGTTTAAACAATTCGAGAGAGGCTCAAAAGCAGTTGCATTATTCGTTGGGATAGGGCTAATCCAATAAAAATTCCAATAAAAATGAATTTGCAACTGTTCAGCATACTTGGCAGCACTTTTGCCATTCGATTTAGCTACTTGATTGCCAAAATAGTGTTGCCAATCAAATAGACAAATGTGTAACAAAGTTTTTGCTAATAATTCAGTTACCAAACATCCGCATAGAGTCTAACAAAAGTTGTTGCAAGCCGGCTCGAAGAACACATCAAGCATGAAGCAAGCCCAAGCCGAAATGTGCAACATAATTCAATTAGTACGGAGAGACGCATAAAAGAAGTACCCCACATCGAATTGAAAGGAAGTCGCAACGGTCGCCAGAGGGCGCCACCTGCAAATTGGCAGCACTTGAAGCGTAAAATTTCCATTTGAAAAAAGTAGCCAAAAACGCAAATTTGGCCAACAGAAAAGCTCAGCGAGCAGCCAAGTTGGCGGCGTCGTGCACTGTTGACCCACTTAACAGATACGTTTATGCGTTAACGTAATTTGATAAACTTCTTCTGCTTCTTCTGCTTCTGCTTTGTGGGCCCAAAAACCCAAAACTTGACCGCGGTGCCAAGTCTCAAATTGATTTGGCTATGCAAACAATAGCCGGAGCTGAGCGCTAATAAAACTGAAATAAAATATAAATGCGACGACTTCAACGCCGACTCAAGGTGAACGGGTATCTGTAAAATGTATCTGTAAAATGTATCTGCAGTTTGCCAGCGCGCTCGGGTTACGGTCACCTGCGTGTTGCGCATGCAACAAGCGAACGCATTGCATATTTTATGGTAATTCGAACTTGGGCCAACTCTTTATGCACTTTCACACAAGTCAAACTAGCCGATGCCCTGCGCTCTGCACCCAACGCCACTTCACACAGCCATCTTGAGTTTCAGGTGTGCGTTGCTTCAATTACCGCCGCCAATTGTAATGTGCCCCAAGTTCACTGCACTGGTCAGTAATTAAAATCAAGCCGCTGTCTGCAGGAAGACTTACACATAACAAAAGTGTGTGCATGTGTGTGTGTCTAAGCGCTGTTTGGCGTTCTCACAAATGTTACCTCACTTCCCTTTCTTAATTGCTCGCCATTCATTGGCAACATTTCATTGGAAGTACTGCGAATCCATTAGAACTCTTTCTTCATTGCGGCAGTGCTGCCCATTTAGCGGAAATCGAATACGCTACACGTCTGTCCACGTCTGCTGTGCAATTGTCCAGCTGCCTGACCGTTCCATGTGCCCCTTGGGCTTTAGTTAATCGCCTAATCGCCAGTCTCAGCTCTGTCAAGCCAAAGTCTCATTGTCTCTTCGTCTCTGTGGCTTAAGAGCTGCTTGTGGGCCATGTTCGATTAGATTAGCTTTGGATTGTCATTGCAACAATGCCGAGTTCCTAACTGAACGGTCCCTAATGGTATCATTTAACCCATTGTTTTTATCTAAACTGAACTTAATTAAAAGCTAAAATTAACATTAAATACTGCTTGAAATTGTATAGATAGAATCTAAATATAATTATAGTTGTTATTGTTGTTGTTAATGTTATTGTAAGAACAGAAGCTACAAACATGAAGCAGATACACTTTTTGCTATAATATTTTTACCATTTCCATTAACTTTGCCTTTAAAACAAATCTTGAATCTTGAATATTAGATAATGAAGGGATCTGAATAATTACATTTATATATTTAAATCTAAATATATTATCAATAGTATGCACTGAGAGCTGAGCAAATTATCGTAAGAGCTTAAAACAAAGTTAATTATACCTAAGGCACCACTTATTAAAAAAAGACTTTAGAAATGAAAGTATGTAAAGCAGGCAGACTTATTTGAATTCATGAGAATCGCAAAGAAGGGTGATCATAACAATTACGGGTTTTGTTTTCAAGTGTAGCTCAGGTGCTTGATAAAGAAGAACCTACACACACATACATATACACAAAAAAGTTAAAGAAGTTAAAAAAGCTACAAAAGTTAAACAATCAACAGCCAGTCGGTCAATCAGTTGGGACAAACAGCTTTATAAATAAAGATAGCAGCTAGAAGCTTAAGACGTTGTTTATTTGTAGAGCCGTATTTTAGCCAAGATATTAGAACAGCCCTGCGCTACTGTGATATTGGGATATGGTTCAAATGATCATCTTAAGCTTACACTGAGAGAAACTGATTGGAAACGTAGCTTAAGTCCAAAGAGCTCATAATCTACAGACCTAACCGCATAAAGCCCTGCGGCAAACAAATTCCAATTTTCTTTGGCCCATTTCATAAGATCAGCAGGTGCATTTAAATGGTGGTTTCCAGCGCCTAATGCCCGACTGCCACATACATGATTAATGATTAATGAATTGGACTATTTATATTTAAAGGCCTTAAACAGGAAGTGGCAAAGCGGGCCGTAAAAATATTTACTTTCGCATGCCATGAAAAACGCCACACGCCAAAAACCGACTTAAAAATGTATGATTGCGCAATCGAGAGTGCGTAACTCTGATTTTTAGCCGTTGTGTTATGCTTGCCCAATGCTTAGCCCCGTCCACACTTGGTCGCCTAATGCGCTCGAAAGCGACAGCAATTAACCGGGCTGCCAAATCAGCTCCAATCAGACGCCCCGCAAACTCGAAGGCGTCAATGAAAATGTCTTAATTTGTTGCGCGATGAAAATATCATTTGTAATTGAAATAAATTTAAAGAGCAGCTCATGGATTGATAAACTTATAAACATGGGGCATATGTTAAAGGTATTTTCTTTTCTTTTCTGTCTTTTTTTTTTGTTGTTTCTGTGAATGAAAACAAAAAGTGAAAGTCCAAACAAGGCGCCTGCAACAATGCATATTAATTCGTTGTTTCTTTTTGTGTTTATTATCATGGGACAGACCGAGAGACAGACAGGCAGACGTGTTGGCCTAGCCAAGAAAGCGCTAAACACCCAAAAAAGCCCAAAACTGGCCATATTTAAGCCCTATTTGTTGTTGTTGTATTGGCTACTGCGCATGTGTGGCCCAAGCGCAAGTTTTCCATTGGATTTAAAGTTAGTTTCGTTCGCCTTTGCCAGCTGCATATTTGCACGCTGATGCAATGCGCGACAGTGGCTGCAAAAAGTTGTTGTCTCACAGGTGCGCCAACAGCGTCGCATTTAACATTGCCAACAGCTGCTGCCAGCAAAATTTCTGCACTTTTCCCAATTCATATATTATTCGTGTATAGAGAGTATCACGATTTTCACACGAGGCAAGCAATGAAGGAATCTGCGGCTCCTTTAGGTATATATATTTCTGATTATTATGGATAGCTAAGTCAATATGGCCATGCCCGTGGATTCGTCGGTCTTTTCTTGGTATCTTGACCAGCTTTCGGCTTCTATACTATAGAGGAAGAATCGGAAGAGTCGAATAAAGTATCTCTAAGCCACACATCTCTAAGAGTATTCAATCTTCGGCTTCCCGTGGTCAATCGTTCTTTAGTGTTTAGAGAGTGCATTCAACTTGAACAGCACATTACACAGTCGTACAAAACTCGGTTGCACAGCGAACATAATATATATTAGCTTATCTAAATAGATCTAGCACTTTAAAGCGTTCTCATGCGCCGCAGGAAGTGGCAGCTCCCAGTTATTAGATAAGTTTGCACGCAGCTGCCAACTAGCTAGGGGAAAGATAGGGAAATATAGCGAAAGGGGGGCGGCTGCCAAAAACTCCCACATAAATTTACACAGATTTAAATTTACACTA